TATAAAACTATATACAGGTTAATGGGCTACTAAATAAAATTATCATTAATAATTAATATTAATAAGAATTATTACTATTATTATTATTAATACATTAGACAACTTAAAGTTTGTATACAAACTTTTCTGTCTAGCAGTTGTTTTTTTTCTAAATCAAGTGGTTTTAGCTGGGTTTCAGTTGTTTTTGTTAATAAATGAGCTAGTTTTAACTGGTTTTTGCTATATGACCTGGTTTTAGCTGGGTTTAACTGGATTTTAGCTGTTTTTTTTATTGAATCAGCTGGTTTTAAGCTGGTTTTTGCTAAATCAACTGGTTTTAAATGATTTTAGCCATTTTTGTTGCTAAATCAGCTGGTTTTAGCTGGTTTTCGCTTTAATGAGCTGGATTTAGCTGTTTTTTTTTTAGCTTTTACAAACTAGTAAATTAAAACTTAACTATTTCAAACTGAAAACCTTTCAACTTCAAGCTTTTAAAACTACTTCAGACTTTCTGGCTAGGCTTTTTCAAGCCAACTTAAAGTTTGTCTACACACTTTTCTGTCTAGCAGTTGTTTTTTCTAAATCAAGTGGTTTTAGCTGGTTTTCAGTTGTTTTTGTTAATAAATAAGCTAGTTTTAACTGGTTTTTGCTAAATGGCCTGGCTTTAGCTGGGTTTAACTGGATTTTAGCTGTTTTTTTTTATTGAATCAGCTGGTTTTAAGCGGGGTTTTGCTAAATCAACTGGTTTTAAATGGTTTTAGCCATTTTTTTCCTCTAAATCAACTGGTTTTCAGCTTTTGTTGCTAAATAAACTGGTTTTAGCTGTATTTTAGCTTTTGTTGCTAAATCAGCTGGTTTTAAATGGTTTTAGCCATTTTTTTCCTCTAAATCAACTGGTTTTCAGCTTTTGTTGCTAAATAAACTGGTTTTAGCTGTATTTTAGCTTTTGTTGCTAAATCAGCTGGTTTTAGCTGGTTTGCTCGAAAGGGGTAGAAAGGGCAGGATTAGACGTGTAGAACAATTACACTCTAGATCAGACTCGAGATTATTGAGAACCATAGGCATCTTTGATATTTGTAAAGATGCCCCAGGCATATTTGTTTCGTGAAATATGGCCTAATAAGCCAACATTTGCTGATGATGGTGGCCTGTGACTGCTGTCACATGCATTGGGTTTGGTTGAAATATGACTGACGTTATAATTATCAGGGTTGAAAAAAGCTTAGCGTGCCTGTGTTTGTGCTCAGGGCTCGGCTCCCTACTGGGCTCTAACTGCAGATGGAGAATATAAACATAAATTGATGTCACACTGTAATTCTACCAAGAATTTCTGACAGACTTTTCTGGCACCCTGTGAAGGCACTAGCATCTCTGCTGCATTCATGCATTGATAATCAAAAGTGTGCAATGTTTAGTGCTCAATTATAGAGGATGCTGGTTACTTCTGCAAACACGCTAAGCAGAGAGTGTGACGTTAATCTAAAGCACAATGACAGGACAAACAGAGCCGAAACTTGCTCATGCTCCAGCAGTCAGCACTGCATTCCCATTTCACCTGCATTATTTATTCATCATTTTGAGTTATTTTGGTCCAAAAACGAATGTAACATTAACCAGCAATGTCAGTGTAGATTTGTTCTGATTTTATTCTCTCCGTCTCTCAATGGCATTATCAAGTATTGTGGCAAAACTGCTTTGCAGTATATAAAAGTAGCTGTTATCCTTAAAAAAATGCTGAAAATGACATTTAACATATGATGCCGGACAATTTAATTTGCTTAGCACACGGCCAGAGACAAAATGACAGAGCAAGTCTTATTGCAATGCAACTTTTGAAGCTCCAAATTGAATTGTAAGGCAGCCAACAACCTTGCAATGGCAGTTTTGAGCATGTGAAAACCCAAGACTGGCCAAACATAGCTGTCAGCACAGTCAGGTACTGATTAACCTCTTAATCATAATAAAGCAGCAATTACATTCCAGAGTATATTATTTTACCGTTTTATGCACTTTGCTATTGTAATTAATTGTACAGAGTTTCACGTGCTTGTGTTGTTAATTTGTTAAGGACAGCATGACCAGGAATGCAAAGCAGGCCTATGTGTGATATCCATGTAATAATAACAATCAGACAGTTATAATGATTGCTGACAATCATTACCATGCACACCCATATGTGTGTAAGACCATTTCCATGCAGAATTACTGATGTATTTATGTTTGTATGTGTGTTTTTATGTATTTGTATGTATGCATGTGTGTTATATAAATGATGTTACATTAAATTATACAAATTACTTGATACATTATAAATCTGACTGAAAATATTTAATGTGATTTTTTTTTCTGAACATTGTGTCATGTCATTTATAATACAGGCTATGTTCACACAGCAGCAGAATAGGGTTGTCAGTCCTGTATTTGAGTCAATAATACGGTTGCGTTCATTTCGCTTGTGTACGGGATTGACATCCACATTCTATAACTGAACTCACAAACAAATTATCAGGACTCACAGCTGCATTTATGCATATTGTTAATACATGTGTGTGTGTATATGTATGTATGTATGTATGTATGTGTATATCAGTGGCGTGCAGTGGTGTTTTGAAATGAGGTGGCAAATCCTCACATTTTTTAAGTGTGTGTGTTTGTTTTTATATTTAATGTAAATTCATGTCCCAGTCACATTTTCTTGGTTAAATAAGTATTACTTACACTACCAGAATAAAAATCTATTTTGTATTTTTACATTAACAATGTAATTAATAGGCTATTCTATTTATTAAAACCAAGTATAAATCTTATCACTTTAGTGCTTTTAAGCTTTTTATATTTGTTCCAAAATAATAACTCAAGGCAGTAACAATTTAAACAATATATTTTATTTAAGCAATTATATATTTTATTTATGAACTGATGTTCAGCTGTTCTTTTTAAAAATAAACTTATTTTTGAACATCAGTCATCAGAGCTCGTTAAACACGGGTCACAGACACGGAGATGTACCTTTAATTTCAACGAGCTGATTGCTCACTAAAACAGATCTTTTTTTAGGCCATTTGAAGTTTGATTTTGACTTGACAATGGTGATATATAAGTGTGTGAGTTGTTTACTTACCTTTTTATTAGTCTTCCCATTAACACAATTATATTGTTCATTCAGACTGATTCGCGAACATGGAGTGCGTACGAATAACCAGTCATATCCAATCGTATCATATTGTATCATATCGCATTGCCTCCTCTCACGTGACTTCCTGCATTCATTTTCAATTGCCCCCCACCAAACTCACCTCTCACGTGACTTCCTGCATTCATTTTCAATTGCCCCCCACCAAACTCACCTCTCACGTGACTTCCTGCATTCATTTTCAATTGCCCCCCACCAAACTCACCTCTCACGTGACTTCCTGCATTCATTTTCAATTGCCCCCCACCAAACTCACCACACAGGGGGTCTGTTAAAACCTATTGGGCTTAGGGAAGGCAAGAGAGACGCGGACTCCCGCTGTAACTTTAATCTACCTGATGGCATCGCAGTTGGACAGTTTTACTTTAGAAAAACAAGTGATTTATACACACTTTTATTTTGTAATATTTGCATTGTTTTATTTTTGTATTATGATTTTATATATATATATATATATATATATGTATGTGTGTGTAACCTATGTTTTTTATTTATGCAAAGCGTGCTTGCTATCTCCTGCGCTCTCTCCGTGCACAGACACATATGAAGTACAGACAGACGTGCATAGAATATTGTTGTCATCTCTGCCCAGTGATTGACTTTTAAGGTAATACAGTTTGCAACTGAAAAGTTAAATTGCATTGCTCAGTATGGAGGTGGTAATATTGCTGTTATTAAAGCAGATAAACTTTACATTTCGCTATTAGTAGAGACACTGCTGCCGAACACTGTTGAGAGACATACAGACTCCTAATCTCTCTTTCTCTCTCACTAATCACTGAATCCCACACACCTGTTGTGAATCCATATGCACATTATTTATATCTGCTCTCAGCTGTGTTTCAGTTTTTTTCTGCCTCTTACAGTTTCACTTGTTGTGCATATGTTGAAATATCTGAAAGAACAAAACATTGTTTAATAGCTTTACAAAATCAGTTCTTGAACTCAAGGACAGTTAATTTGTTGATAGAATGAATCGCTGTTATAGAGGAGAGAAATTCAGACATGAGAGGCAAATAAAGAGATGGAGAAAGCCAGTCAGACGCTGCGGCCTTGTTGTAGCTTTTGCTATGTAAGTGCTATCCAGGGAGAACAGTGATAAAATGGCACATGCACCCTGGTCTGAAGGGATTTAAAGAGCTTTAAGTATGTGTGTGTTCGTCTGGTGAAAATATCAAAAGGCTTTAATGTGTTTGACCTTTTTGCTCAAGCTACAGCTTTTACTCTCTCTCTCATGCTCACACCCTCTTTCACCCCATTCGCTCATTTGCAATCTTTCTTTCTCACCCTTTCCCGCTTAACTTGGGGTGTTAGTGATGGCACTGACCAAGGTCAAACATGTTATGATGTGTATGGGTACAGCATACAAAAGCATCTATATATTGCACATGAGTTTCTGACAAAGACCACTATTCAACAGGGATGCAATATATATCAGAAGACCATAGCAGTACTTGTCAGTGAAAGAATACTTTGATTATATAAAATATATAAGTAGCTGATATAAGATCATAAACTGTATAGAATGTATAATTCCTATTTTTAATATTCACATACCTTGAATTTATAATTAAACATAAATGTATAAAATGTTTAGGCCTATAAGTTAATATTAAATGAACTATAGGATAAAGTTGCTGGGCAATTTCATATATATATATATATATATATATATATATATATAAAACTATATACAGGTTAATGGGCTACTAAATAAAATTATCATTAATAATTAATATTAATAAGAATTATTACTATTATTATTATTAATACATTAGACAACTTAAAGTTTGTATACAAACTTTTCTGTCTAGCAGTTGTTTTTTTTCTAAATCAAGTGGTTTTAGCTGGGTTTCAGTTGTTTTTGTTAATAAATGAGCTAGTTTTAACTGGTTTTTGCTATATGACCTGGTTTTAGCTGGGTTTAACTGGATTTTAGCTGTTTTTTTTATTGAATCAGCTGGTTTTAAGCTGGTTTTTGCTAAATCAACTGGTTTTAAATGATTTTAGCCATTTTTGTTGCTAAATCAGCTGGTTTTAGCTGGTTTTCGCTTTAATGAGCTGGTTTTAGCTGTTTTTTTTAGCTTTTAAAAACTACTAAATTAAAACTTAACTATTTCAAACTGAAAACCTTTCAACTTCAAGCTTTTAAAACTACTTCAGACTTTCTGGCTAGGCTTTTTCAAGCCAACTTAAAGTTTGTCTACACACTTTTCTGTCTAGCAGTTGTTTTTTCTAAATCAAGTGGTTTTAGCTGGTTTTCAGTTGTTTTTGTTAATAAATAAGCTAGTTTTAACTGGTTTTTGCTAAATGGCCTGGCTTTAGCTGGGTTTAACTGGATTTTAGCTGTTTTTTTTTATTGAATCAGCTGGTTTTAAGCGGGGTTTTGCTAAATCAACTGGTTTTAAATGGTTTTAGCCATTTTTTTCCTCTAAATCAACTGGTTTTCAGCTTTTGTTGCTAAATAAACTGGTTTTAGCTGTATTTTAGCTTTTGTTGCTAAATCAGCTGGTTTTAAATGGTTTTAGCCATTTTTTTTGCTAAATCAACTGGTTTTAAGCTTTTGTTGCTAAATCAGCTGGTTTTAGCTGGTTTGTAGCTTTCGTTGCTAAATCGGCTGGTTTTAGCTGGTTTTTAGCTTTTGTTGCTAAATCAGCTGGTTTTAGCTGGTTTTCGCTTTAATGAGCTGGTTTTAGCTGTTTTTTTTAGCTTTTAAAAACTACTAAATTAAAACTTAACTATTTCAAACTGAAAACCTTTCAACTTCAAGCTTTTAAAACTTCTGCAGAATTTCTGGCTAGGCTTTTTCAAGCCAACTTAAAGTTTTTCTACAAACTTTTTTATCTAGTTATTATTATTATTATGTAAAATGATCTACATAATGATAATAATTTTTGGCTAGGTGCAGTACCTCAGAGCTGATGCCCAGCGTGTTCTCCAGACTGCAGCGGTATTTGCTCATTCGCAGGGAGAAATCTCTGTAGCGCTTGTCCACTGCTGACACCCACTTCTTCAGCTCGGTGACATGCGTGTGCCCTTTCTCCACAAAATTATCTGCCAGCTGGATCAACATCTTCACTTTCTCCTTTGTTTGCTGTGGCACACATGGACATTATGTGTGTGAGCGTGCGGTTTGTTAATTACGCTCAAAATAATGACTTGCTCGAAGAGTTCAAGTGGCTGCATGTGTCACACATTAGAGACGAACATGAAAAGCAAGAGGAAGAGGTGAGGGGAAGTGTTTGTGCCTCTGTACCTTGGCAGAGATGCGGAATTCTTCATATTCTCTCAGCAGTTCCTGAGTTTTCTCCACCGAGTCTCCTGGGGACGTGTGAGAGGTGAGATACACCTCACCTGCCTCCTCGATCCACTCTAATGCCTGACACAGAGACAGACAGACTCACACACAAAGACCCAATATAGAATATTCTAATACTCTTACCAAAGTGAATGTGTGAACTAATGATCGGAATGCAATGTAATGGTACTACATCTGCCAGCACACACACACACACACACACACATATATATATATATGTGTGTGTGTGTTATGAGTAAACTCGGACAGCTTTGTAGTGTGAATGGGGAAGGTGGTAAGATTAAAAACATCAGCGTACAAATATGAAAATTTCCTTAAAAACAAACACATACCAATCTAACCTAATTTCCCATACGGCAAAGTAAATGAATGAATGTATGAATGAATAAATAAAAGAATAAATAAGTGATCAATATATAGTTCAATGAAAAACATTTTTGAAATAGAAAATATTTTTTGTTTCAACACTCATACTGTATACCAAAATATATTACAAAATGTATTTCAGGGGCAAGAAAATACATTTCCAATCTCAGAGTAGCAGTAGTTTGAATTTAATTTAAATGTGTTATATGTTCATACGTTTTATAGACAACAAAGTTTTTCTTCAAATGTGACACATGCAGAGTTATTTTATTGCTTTGAAAAATATAGCGCAAAACATATGTTTTATATGTTTTTAATATATTTATATTTTTATAATATATTTTCAAAATACCCCCACCTCCCAAAAAAATAAAATAAATAAATACATACATACATACATACATACATACATACATGCATGCATTCATAAAATTAAAAAAGGCCAAAAATATATTTGTAAACATATTTTAGCAAATATATTTTTGGCCATTTTTTTGTGTATATTTTGAAATGCTGTATGGGTTGTTACCAGTGGTGTAGTGGAGGGTATACACAGGTATACGGCATATACCCACTTCTTTATCAGTCGGCTTTGCATATACCCACTTCTAAATCCCCTCTGATGTGCATTATTCATTAGTGTCCTGCATTAGCCAAAATCATGACAGCTCACCATGACTAGCTAATCAAATCACATGTAAATAAATGCCAATATTCCCTAAACATACCCAGTAAAGACCAGTAAAGTCAGGATGCACCGGCTTCCCTTTAAATTTGATTGATAATTGCGCCCGCGCCCGCCTCTCATCTCGACAAATCACGTGAATGCAAGCGGAGTCGGTCTGGGGCGTGAGTGCATGTCAGGGGAGATCAGGGGTGATAAAATAATATTTAATTATTGACTACTAATTTGAATCAGTACATTATAATGAAAACAATACTTTAAAAAGGAAAAGAAGCATGTTTTTGCGATTAGATTTTTTAAACCGGTAAACTTCTGTAAACTTTTCAGTCCAAGGATCCAGTAAACGAATGCCTTCATACAGTAGCCTAAGTTCAAAACAGCTACAGAGAAAACCCGACCGGTTTCATTAGAGATTGCTTAGAGTCACATCCTTTTCAGCGTGTATTTGGATTAAAAGCACGAGTGTACATTTACAGGACACAAAGCATGCGCACCCACAAAAGAACAACACAAACATACTCTTTCACACAGATAAATGTGAATGCACAAACCACAAAAGTGCAGTTACTAGAGTCTACAAAAACACACACACACACACACACACACACACACACACACACACACACACACACACACACAC